CCAAAAATAAAAGTATCGGTATCGGGCGAGTACTGGAAAAAGTGGTATCGGTGCATCCCTAATTAAAGGTGAGATCGGTGTATTTTTCCTCCTTGGACTGATGGGAAATGTAGTTTGTTTGCACAATTTGGATAAAAGAGCGCCATTTGGCAGCAAGCTTTATCCCTTTCTGATACATATTTTCAATAGTTTCACTATTTTTATTATGTAAACAAACCATTGCAATATTATAAACTTGCAAGAAAATACCATCTGGGAATATATATGTGTAGTGTGCAGTGTGTGTGTTGTATCTGACCTCAGTGTGTTTCCCTACTGTTTACCACAGCATGTGTGTTTATATATTAAACACTGTGGTATCAAATGTTCAAACATGTTCTAATTTGTTACACTGTTTATTTAAGTTTCAATTGTTAGAATGGTTTTTTCTATTATTTTGATTTTTTCATTGTTATTATTATGTTTCTCCACATATATTCCATGCTTTGGCAATATTGTATTTTTTACAGCCATGCCTATAAAGTAATGTTGATTTTTTTTTTTATTTATATATTTTTTATTTATATTTGTATTCAATTATATATTTTTTATTTATATTTGAATTCAATTATATATATATATATATATATATATATATATATTAAAAAATAAAAGAGAAAAATAATTTTTCTCTATTCACCATTAGGTGTGGTAAAAGAACCGTTTACAGTCTTTACGATAATGCTTGACATAGTAATTACACATCTGAAAGAACAATACAGCTCACCATGAAACCAGACAGATCTCACAATGCTTCTGTTTCACACAGCTAGAGACGAGGGGCAATTATTCATAACACACACTCACTCTCAGCCCGTTACCATGGCAACAGCCCCTCCAGATACCACCTCACACTGAGATCACTTTCACCCTCTTATTACCTCTTCTTTTTCTTCTTCTCCTTCCTCTTCAGTTTCTCCAGATCTTTCTTGGCGATCTCAATGATGTCGGAGGTCTCTTGGCTCGGGTCGGGCCCCAGCAGGGCTGGAGAGAATGTTCCAGACGATCCGTAAAACAGAGGACGGCTGGACACTCGTGTGAGGTTTCTCCTCAGGTTTTCATTCACTGCTTCACTCTCCAGAAGTTTGGCTCTGAAATACACACAAAAATGAAGAGTATGTGAGACAGACAGACAGACAGACAGAAGATAGATGACAGACAGACAGACAGAAAGACAGAATATAGATGACAGACAGACAGACAGACAGACAGACAGACAGAAGATAGATGACAGACAGACAGAGAGACAGATGACAGACAGACAGAAGATAGATGACAGACAGACAGATGGATGACAGACAGACAGAAGATAGATGACAGAAGACAGACAGATGGATGACAGACAGACAGACAGACGGATGGATGACAGACAGACAGACAGACAGATGGATGACAGACAGACAGACAGATAGAGACAGACAGACAGACAGACAGATGGATGACAGAAAGACAGACAGATAGAACATAGATGACATACAGACAGAAGATAGATGACTGACAGACAGACAGACAGATGACAGAAAGACAGACAGAGAGACAGACAGATAGATGACAGACAGAAAGAAGAAAGA